ATTCTGCCACAAAACTGAGCTCTACCAGGAGCGGGGATGTCCTACAGCTCGCATGCCAGGGCAGCACCAGGGTGGAGTGTTGGGGAGCATTTCGAGAAGAGGCCGTGCAGGAGAAGGAAGGCACAGGAGTGTTGTGTGCATTGCACATCGGCTGAGAAAGCTCGGGGACCTGATGGCTCTGAATTACAAGCAGGTGCATGAGACAAATATAATGGGGGGTTCTCGGGTTTGATCTTCAATCAATTAGGGAGTCAAAGAGCAGCAGCCTTATGGGATATAAGCAATAGCTTTCCACTTAGAAAGGCAAGCAGTGGAAAGGCTGACAGCCCCAGCCATTAAGGCTTAGTGGAGGTCAGTAATTTTGCTATTAGAAAACGGACGCTGAGTGAGGAGGACGCTGTAAAGCTGGTCTGTGAGGTGAGGGATGCTGGGGACGGGGAGAGCGACTTGCCCCTGTCTGGACTCTGTCAATGTTCACGTGTGAAGAGGGGCAAGGAGACAGTGTTCCACCATTCCTTGAGTAAACACCTTCGTTTCAAATGCTCTCCTCTGGTCTGAAGCTACACTTGTCCCATGCCAGGTGCCAGACACTGGGGGCATACTGCAGACACAGCCAGAGAAGATTTGAGGGTGTGGGGGGGAGTGACATAAAAAACAGAGGAAGGACTTAAGCGCAGTTTGAGGTCCTCCAGAACTCTGCTTCTCGGTGCATAGACACCCTGTTACAGGACAACTTTTGTTATTTCTCCTTAAAATAGATTTTATTTCAGAGCAATATTTGGCGAGGAACCCAGTCCGTTGCATGCTCTCATTGTACAATCTGCTCCTACTTTTGCTCTCAATCCCCTTTTTTTAATACAAGAATTTCAAAGGCATTTTCACCATACATGTCCAGTTGCTCCTATCCTGCCCACTACTCAGTCCAGTGTACGTGTTTACTGATATTCCATGAGGTCCCTTCAGAGACAAGTCAGGTCAAAAACTTTCACCATTTTAAACAGGTGCTTAAGTATTACTGCCTCTTATTATTAACCACGCCATCGCGGTTTGCTGGGGACTTAGACAAAGCTGTGTGTGAGCAGTTCCTAACCCACCCTACTAAATCTCAGATCTCTATCATTACATTTATCCTCTTCCCTCTCCCTCCCCTCCTCTACTAATGAAAAAGGCCAGTCTTCAAAATAGAAATTAAATTCATGCACCCACAAGACAACGCCGGGCTTAAATCCAACAGCATGTGAGGATCTTGCTGTTAAAGGTGAACCTTACTCTCCGGCTACACGGGCTTTCCTCTGTTTGGAGATTCCTGGGACAACATAACAGAGGTCCTTAAAGGCTGTCTGAACCTCCATGTGAAAAAGCTGAGAGGCTGTTCCTGAGGTAATGCGTTTCTCAATGTCGCTCGGAATCTCCCAGTGAGCGTAGGGAAGTTAATGCTCCCTGAACTATTGCAGAGCAGCGGAATTTGTAGTCTCAAACTTCCCCTGCATTGCTTTATTTTGTGTCTAGGATAAACCAGAGAGCGGTAACAAAAAAGCAGACTGGCGTAACTTTTAGTTCAGCTTGCTGGGGAGAGGCAGCTTAGTTAATAGTCTGTGAGAAAGGAAAAAGGCTTCCCGAAGCCAAAGTTTCTAACTGGTCTGTTCTACATAGTACTTGTACCAGTTCAACTATGCCGGTATTATTATGACTAAAATAACTGTACACGTGACATATGTGCATCGGTATAGAAATGCCCTATGCTGATCTCACTCTTTTCCCCAAATAGGACAAACTATTTTCATAGCCAGACACGCTTTCTCACCAGGAGTCAGCGCAACGCAACCAAACCACAGCAATTAAGGCAATGCAACTGCTCCATGCAGGTAATGTAAAAGAGCAAGACTTTCAGGAACCCAAAATCTGATCAAAAGAAAAAGGATTTTCCTCTGCAGCGCTGTCCCAATAATCTTCAGAGCTGAGTGCTTACAGTCTGGGTATCAAGCTATGGTATCAAGCTCAGCAGATGCCTCTGGTTACATGAGACAAGATTTTAAGCCCTCTGTCTTCCAGACAGGAGGCACAACACGAAGGCTACTTAGCACACCCTGCAAAGCAGGCTAAAGAGGACTCAAGGGGTCTCACTACAAGACGAAAACATTCACCTCTAAGCTTGGGTCACCTGGATTTCAAAGCAGATGAGCCAAGCTCACTGCCGTGTGAGGCTTCGTTTCCTTAATTACCAGTGTGCAAGACAGCAAAGTGACACAGTTTTGCAAGGACTTGGTTGTGAAATAAGTTGGCATGCACTGAAATGCACCAACTTCAGTGGTAGTTACAGGTCTCTGCTCCTCTCTAGGACTGCAAGAACATCATGAGGCAGGTTTTCTCTGCCTCGGACCCCCTCTGAAGCCCATCACCATGGGCAATTGCCTAAGATTACAGAGGAAATCACTGTCAAAGGTTAGGGTGAGGGACTACTCGCCAAGAAACTAAGCTTCCGACTCCTATTCTAATCCCTAGAGTCTTTTCTTCACCAACGCCCAGACCTCAAAGTAGCAGTAAGCATTCTCTTGTGCCAACAATGGAAGGAAACAGTCAATATAAAGGAAATTGGGAATAGGAGGAAAAAAGAAAAGGCAACAGTGTTCAAAGCAATAATGCAAGCGTTTATAATGTTACGTCCATGCAGGTGTGCACGAGGGCCATCCAGGGGTACAAGAAGAAAACACAGGTTTGCTCAGGCCCTGACCTTGTTTTCCTGCTATGACAGTTTAACCTATTTCTTCCTCTCAGTGGGAGACAATAAAACCTCAGCCCAATCCATCACCAATCGGGGAGGATACAACAGGTGAATTAAACACAGAAAGCAGATGGGGCACTGTCTCTGCCGGGCCCCAGCTGTCATGTCTGCGAGCTGTCTAGCCTTTATGATGCCGCTGCCGTCCCTGGAGCCAGCCCCATCACACCTTCCACCCCGGTCCCTGGGCTGCTGCTGACGCTGGGAACAGAGCCAGAGCCTGCTCCCTCCGGCAGGGCTGTGCAAGAGCGGGGTCAGGTCGCTTTCCATTCATTGCTCTTGCGCAGGTGAAAATGGCCAGTCCTCCCCCTCTTTGGGACGGGAGGGCTGGGGGATGCATTTGCAGGGGACAGAATGCCTGGAAAGGCTGTGGGAGTTGAGCAGTAGATGTTCCCTGCCTGGGCACCAAGCGCTGAATTACATATGCCTTTTTTTCTGATATTACGGGACTCATGACAGTGCTGCCTGGCCCGTTTGCCCCAGCCATGCCAGGTTTTCCCCCACACACCGTCCCAGAGCTCCCAAGAAAATGGAAAGGAGAACAACTGTACAACAGCAATGAGAGGAGTCTAGCCTACCTGGTAAGAACAATGCACTCCTCTAAGGCATCGAGACAAAGCTTAAACAAGAGACCTTCAGACAAACTGATTGAAAAGTATTGGAGAGCACAGAAATGGTAAGCTGGGGGACCACTGGCTAATAACTATTAAGTATTTTTTCTTCATTTCCTAACAAACAAGGCTAAGCAATTACAGTAATTAAAGATTTAAGATAAGAGCACTTTATATTTGGGGGGCCCAGCATATCAATTATATAGTTATCATGTTGTTCTCCCTCCTAATGAGACAATCTAGCACTGTAATTTTGCAGAATTAAAAGCATAATTAAAGGGGGCAGGAGAAGAAGGGCATTTTACCAAAACTGATTAGGAGGGTTCCCTCTCCTCTGCGGCTCCTGTGCGCATGCACAGTCCACATGCATTCCCCAAACACCTTTTCATTTCCAAGCGATAACCCTTGAACATGGCTGTTGGACAGCTGCAATGATAAACCCAGACTTTAATTACAGGCGGGTTTTATGAGAAGAGCCGGTTACTGTTTTGTCTCCCTACTTTCTAGCTCTCAGCTGCTGAATGTGCCAGCATCTGCTGGAAGGCAAGGGGGGAAATAGCTTATCTACTCAGGAGCAAGAAACACATAAAACATAAGAAAAGCAATTACATGCCTTCGGTTTCCACTCCTCTGTTTTTATAGGGCTTGTCTTAGAATCTGAGTGATTTTATGCATCAGAGGAAGATGACAATCAAGATGAGTTGCAATGATATGCATGGGAGGTTGAGACACAGTGCCTTTAGGTATTTATTTTCCTGTAGTTACAGGTCTTCTAAACATCATATTTTTTCACAGGGATGAGAGAACCCAAAATTTTGCAGCTGAATATTACGGGCACTGAGACCATACATGGGAGCCCAAGTGAGTTACCAGAATGTAACTCGAGGCAATCCCTTCTCCTCTTCCTTCAACCCTGAATGATTCCGGGATGCATGTATAAGGTACTGAGAAAGACACGATCAAAATATGTAAACACTGAGGTAATCCCCAGTATCTGAGCGACCCTCTGCCTACTGCAACTCCATTACTTCTACTTTTAGCCTACAGAGGCACTCAGGATCAGGGAGACACGGCTATGCCCTTTGACACCTGTAATCAAGAACATCTAACAACACCCATTGCTGCTACCTCCTTCCCAAACTTTGTTCCCCAACATTAAATTATCCAGCTCACATCGCATCAGAATTTGGGGACAATTAAAAGCAAAAGGCAGGACTTCGGACCCGTACACCTCTGTGTATATTCAGACAGCTATGTGAAAGGCGCACAGATGACTTCTTGGTCATGCAATGCGTTGGCCTCACCAGGCACAAAGACACAGAGTGCTGAAACACAATTTATACTCTGCAAATACAGATGTCTTCGGTGCAAATTCAAGGTCCATGTTGCCAGGCCCCATAGAGCCCTACTCGCCCCAAACAGGACTGAGGAAGTAGAAAAGAGGACCCAACGACCCTTTCTGAGCTATAATGTGACATTTGCACTTTAATTTCAGGCCCTGGAGTTGACTGGGCTGCCTGGGCAGTGTTGGCCCACAAAGGCTGGTCACCCGCTGCCCCGTTTCCTCTGTCTTTGCTTTTGTAATGCAGCACTCCCTGGCAGGAAAGTACCTTCTTTTCATGATACTGATATGGAGATCCTCCTCCTGCTTTACTTCAGGGTGTTGACCATTGCTCTTATCACTCTCTTCGCTGTCGTCACTATGCGAGAAAATCGAGGTCAGCTCTTTCTTCGGTATCCTGGTTGGAGGTAAGGGGATCGTCCTCTTCTCTGCCAGGCGACCCCGGTTCTGGCACAGGATGGAATTAGTTGGAACGGAAAAGCGCAGGAGGAAAAGAGAAGAAAAGAAGAATTTGGTTAGGCAACCCAGAACCAAGCAGCTCCTCTCAAATGGCTGCCCTGCAAAGGCAATGCTGTTAGTCATGGCAGGTTTCAGACTGGTATGTTGGGTGGGCAAAGGCTATGTTCATTTTGCAAAAGACTTTTCAGCAGAGGAATATCTATATCTAGTTCTTTTGGCTCTAATGTTCAAGTCATGCACTCCCTGCCCCTCCCCACCTCTTCATTCCTAGCTTGCGTCTCATCCATGTCAACAGGAAAGGAAGACGGCAGCAGAATTAGACACCAGTCTATTTCCTACCAGATGTGGCACATTAACATAGCAGAATAGGTTAAATTAAACCTTTGCCAGTAGCCCAGGGAAGATATGATCCAGATGATCCAGAACTTTTGACTGCAAAGGGAAAACTGCCTGTGCCAGCCAGCAGCAGGTTTGACTCTCACATCAGTGAACAGTCCACATCGATTTCAACTTGACTTACTGAGGCGACTTTTCACTGGTCGTTTGCGTGTTCAGATGAATCTAGCAGGTCTTGCCTTGTGCAGACTTTCCCTAGGTGGTCCTGGCAGTGTACCTCCCTCAACAATTCACTTCTGACAAAACACAAATAAACAGGAGGAAAACTCCCAGGAGGCAAAAGCCGCTTTTTCACTCCATGTGTATTTGTGTACAGAACCCAGCACAACACGACCCTGGTCCCAACCTCCTATCTTCTGCAAGCAGTGAGAATGTATTACAGATTACTCTGTCTCTGCACCCTTTGTGCCTGATCCACAAGAAGACACGAGCCTAGCGCAGCCTAAACTAGAGTGTGTTGCCCAGACAAGCTGTGGCTGCCCCATCCCTGGAGGTGTTCAAGGTCAGGTTGGACGGGGCTTGGTGGGCTGGTGGGAGGTGTCGAGGGACGAGATGATCTTTAAGGTCCCTTCCAACCTAAACCATTCTATGGTTCTATGATTTAGCTCTCACTGTGATAGAACACGTTTCTAGCACTTGGGGTGTTCATCTCGATCTGTGATTGATCAAGACAGAGAGCCATAATACAAGCACTTAGAGTGGAAGACGTACATTGGAAACCCAGGGAGACTGTAATGTCTGTCCCCCATAGAATTTAAAATTTTAGCAAACAAAATCATGAAACTGGGAAGGGAAGCACAGCGAGGGGAAGTGAAGCACACAGTTTCACGCCCATTCGCTGTACAGGTACGTAGGCATACTTCCTTCAACAGGACAAATCACAGAAAAGAAGTATGTTTTTAGCAAGGACTGAAACAAAAGGAAGAAAGGTGTGCGAAACTGGTCAAGTAAGTGCAGAGTAACATTTGACTAACAACCGTTTCTCTGAAACATCAACTCCAACTTTCCAAATAAACCTGGCAAGATGAAAACGTCCTGGGAGAGCCAGTCAGGCGCTCTGCAGGGGGGAATGGAGCAAGACTAAGTGAAAGAAGAGCCCATGGTTTTTTTATTAAACAAATTAAGAACTTTCCACAAACACAAAACAAAAACTTCTTGTTTACCTCTGTCAATAAATTCCAGTTGTAGTCATGAAGGGGAGCCCTAATCGTTGTGATAATTAGCTAAATCCATCTGGAAGGCATCACCCCAAAGAGGCACACGAGCTTTCCCACCCTGATGCACTTCCAAGCCAAGAACACAGCTGTCTGTGAACAGCAGACACCCAAGGGAGTGAAGAGCAGTGGGCCAAACTGGCTTAAAAATGGGAAAACACATGCAGACAAGGAAAAAGACACACACTTTTTTCTTGAGAGACATGTGAAGAAAAAAAACGCACCCTTGGACAGCAACAAGGTGAATGCTCCTGTATCTCCCAGTATCCCAAGTACAAAAGTTGGATCGAGCAGCAACAGGCTTTGTGGTGAGTCCGAGCGCTCAGCCACAGCCACAGGACAACACTCTTCCTGTGCATACCGCTGGGGACTCTCAGAGACCCACCTGGGGAGGAGAATTGCTATGGTGTGCGGGGTCAACTGCATCTATGCGACAACCAGCAAATGCCTTCCCTCAGCCCTGGCGGCTCCCCTACGCAGCCTGGAGGATCATGCCATACAAACTGTGCGCCTCCTACCCTTAAGTATTTTTTGCGTCCTAGGTGCATTTCCACCCCTGCCCCCTTTCCTGCGCCAGTGCCTACAGAGAAGGCGCGCAGAGCTTACCCGCTGCCTAAAGCCAGCTCAGTAACTCCCACCAGCACGGTGTCCAAAGGACAGTGGGGAAAAGAAGAGGGAAAAGGGAGAAGCGAAGGGAATGAAAAGCAAAGCAAGGAGGGCACTGTCTGCACCAGATTTCTGTCATGCTGAAAAGCTAGCACTTGGTATCAGCATGAGCTTTATCATGCCAAAGCTTTATATATTTTTCTGAAGTTGCAATTTATCATAACAATTAAAGGGAGAGGGGAGGGAGGGTGTGCAAATTTCCGCTTCAAAATAATTGCAATTCACTCTCTGCTGTGACTTCACAGGCTAAAGAGAACGGCACTGATCAGACACTAAAAATCATTTTATGGCCATTATGGTACCTTCGAGCAGTTACCGGGTCTCAGTGACTGCCCAGGGACTCATCAGCCCTAACAAGAGTGAGAGTGCAGCAAACAGGGAGGCACTAAACCCAGAGAAACAGCCCACCTGCCCAGGAGCACAGGTTCCCCCTTTCTCCTGCTCCTCAGAATGCTTATTCTTTGCCTTTCTGTGAATTGTATCCTTAGGCCTGAAGCTGCTGCGTATACATACACACATATATAAACACACACATATATATGGCTATATCTGTAGTATACAAATATGTATATACATACCTATTTAGGTATCACCTAACACACACAGAGCTTCTTCCCCTAAAAGACAAATGAACCGACACGAATGGCACAGAGAAGCTGCATCTGCAGCAATCTCTGGTCACAGATGATCCATTCTACTTTTGTTCCCACCAGGGGCCAGACAGGGACGACGAGCCCTGGAACCAGGGCGACGGTGGTTCCAGCGCCCTTGTATAGACCTGCATCCCATCACCAGCAATGCATTTTTTAAAGCTGTGTGTACTTTGTATTTTTGCCATTAGGTTTAGGGCGTTCTATTTATTTATTTATTTACTTATTACATTTCTCCATTCCCAGAAAATTAAAATAGACTGAGCCAATCAATTTTGCCTTTTATGTTCATCTATAGTCAGTTTTGAATCAATTGCACTTTCTTAATCTCTTTAGAGGCGTTCACCAGTATATACACATTATTTTTAAATTAAGCACAAAGGTAGCCAGAAGCCTGGTCCAGAACCTGCTACAATCAATTGTCTTTCCATTGACTTGAAAGGGCACTGGTCCAAGCTGCAAATAAAACCCACTCATTTGTGAGCAGCACTCCATCCAAGGAACCATTCCTATGACTCTGGCTTTTGCTAAAGTCCTTCGCCAGTTGTACAGGCAGCTTACCGGACGGGAATGTACCCACGGAGCTGAGCAGTATATTGAGATACCTACAGCTACTTAGATTCAGGGCTATCAACTACCACTTGGCACACAGTGGCAGGTGGTAAAGTACGCACTCAGCAGAGCGGGGTTATGTGCAAGAATACACCCAGAGACTGCAATGGCACCACTATGTATGGGGAGGTACATTAGGATTTATAGCTATTTGATGTAAGCCTCATAATCCCCCATTAAAAAAGCTTGTATTTGTGTGACAGTGTCATTGCACAGTGATCTCATACGTTAATGGGATGCTGATGTTGAACCATGAGCCCTGTAAGAAGGCTTGACTATTTTAAAAAGAAAACTGCCTCTCAAATTGTTGATATTCATCGGGATGTCTGATGCTTGGGAAAACAACCCAATCAATAGTCACCTACTGCCAGAGCGCCAGGCATCTTGGGACTCCAGCTCCCTCCTGTTAAATAACTCCATTTTTACACACACAAAGAAAAGGGGGAAGGTGTGCTTTGCCAGCTGGCTTGCTTAAACTAGCAGGACTGTTTTGGCCAATGGGTCAGAAGGAGCATTTTCTATAGCTGCAGAGCCAACAGCTGTTAGTACAGGTGCAGTACCCCCAGCAAAAAGATGAAGTATATGTAGCGGTAAATAGGTCTTACAGCTCGGTCCAGCAAAGCCAGGCTGCCTGCTGCCAGCTCCTGCCTGGGAGAGCGCAGACAGAAGGTGCTGTAGGGAACACGTTATACCCCTGAGAGCAGGGGGAACACAGGATCCCCACGGAGGACCTGTTCTCAACACGTCCGTCTGTGGGTGAAATACAGCCAGCCAAAACACTGCTGCAGAGCTCCTGCACAGGTAGGGGCTCTCCCCTACCCTGCAACGCACCCTCCAACCACCTCTTTGGTGCCCGAGAGGGGTCCAAGATGCTTGTTTTCAGGACAAACACTAACCCAGCTCAGAGGAAACCTCTCCAGAGCTTGCACCTTCCATTCATAACACCAGGATTTCCCCCTGCCCTTGGACAGAGGGTGGGGGGTGGAGAACAGAGTATCACTTATCCTCTCTTTAATTAGTGTAACTATAAAGGAAAACATTTCCGCAATTCTCCAAAGCTTTTATAAGGGTGAGTGTCGAGGGCACTGCCGAACTGCCTCACATATTAGGGCTCTCTTCCCTTTATACATTGTTAAAGATTAATTTTGTGGGTTATGATACCAGCTAAGGAAGCACAGCTGGAGCTGAGTCAATAACCCTCTACTCCCCAGACACGTTCGGGTACCCCCCCAGCCGTCCCTGCATCAGTCCAGCGCTCAGTCACTCACCACTTCACCCTCCTAGGGTCTTTTGACACCATTAATTGCTTTCATTGCCTCTCAAAGTATTGTCTGGGTGGGGGGTTGCTTTGTTTTTCAAAAGCACAGACAGGCATATTTCCTTTCCCCAGGAAAAATCAGATGAGTACCAACACACAATTTAAAGTTACCGACGGCCCAAGTCTGGAGAT